AATTGCCGATTGTGTGCCCAACAAAAGTAATTTAAATGTCCAATGGTTTTTTTTTCCCCCAAACGACTCATTAAATGACATTAAATGTCAAAATATTTGTTACTATCGATACGTCGATTTGGGAATATAATAATTATACATAAAACTATTTTATAATATAAATATATAATAATATTATATTATGGAAGTAAAATATAGTTTCATAAGGGTCCAATTTACTTTTTATATATTGTATTATACCTATTATACCCATAAGCTATATATAAGCATAATCTACCGCGTTTGTTTGTGATTTGTATATACTACGTGGATTGCGTCTATTCATTTCATCGAAATATGGTATATTTATTTTTCCTATCGGAAATTAGGTTCTTGGAAACTTTGAATGGGAATCTATAAAAAAAAAAAAATGTTTTATACATATATAAAAACTGGTGGAAAATATTATGTGTTTTACTTACAGCGAGATTTCAATGAAAACAAATTATATTTATATTATACTTTCAAGGATATTTACATTTCTAAAGCTAAAAAACTCAATCAATACTAAATACCAATGCATCTAATGCTGATTCATTTAAACTGAATGCGTACTGAATATCAATATTGCTATACACATTAGTATTATGGTAAATTGGTAATCATTCAGAAAATAAATATACAAAATTAACTCCAAAAATTACTTTTATGACGACTGACAAGAGTAACTTTTTAGATTGGTTTTAGATTACTTTTATTCTCCTTGACATAAATATATTTTATATTAATTTAATAAAAATATTGATGCAGCAAATTCTTAAAATATTTCGAAGATCCATAAATAATTGGAAAAGTGCATCACGTTATTTTAACGATGCTATGTAGTTAAGAAAACTAAGTAAAATTACTTACACTCATTAAACTATCTAAAGACGTAGGGTTTCGTACATTCCTCTTTTTTCTTCAATATTAAATGAATTTCTTACAATTGGTATTTTTAAATAATAGGTAATACATGACTTAGTGATATAAAGTGAAAAGTATACACATAATATCTAAAAACAATAAAACTAATACTACCTAATGAACTGATAAATTATACTGAATTCATTTTGATATAATTTATAAATTCTATTGTTTGATTTAATCTAGTGTTAATAATAATGAATATAAAATAAACAATCATTTTTAAATATGCTTTAAAATATACAACTTTATTTGTGTATCGAATGAAATAATAAGAACAGACATATTATCTGTTAATTAATAGATGTGTATAATGACATTTGATAGGTAATTAGTTAAACCACGAATTTTTTTATACCAGGTCAAGTGGTTTGGTGGTAAATGCACCAATTTATCATTAATTTGAAAGAGGGTTCAACCCCAATATGGCAATATCAGTAACAAAAATAAATAAATAATTTACTTTCATAAGGATTTACATCTAATTGAGCAGCTGTATTTTTTTCTCTAATTTGATTTAATTTGAATTAATTAGTATTTGTTATTTAGAAATAATTTTTTTAATCAACGTTATCTGAAAATAGTTAATCATGACAATTAATGTCTGTCTTTATAGTTTATTCAAATTTTTAAATATATACAATATATAGCAGGTTGCTCACCTGCTATAATGACAACCCACCAGGGTGAACAAAAACTGTAAAAAAAAGCATTTATTTTAAAGTATTTTGTATAAATCCTACTGCAGGAATGAACTTCTAACCAAGTCCTGCACTTTGTAATGTCTGTTCAAGTAATGGAAAAAATGCATTCTGTACAAATTTCAACATTTAAATAGTTATTATAACAGTCCCTTTGACCCTTCTCAATGCGTTTATACTGGGTGATTCTTTTATCAAACAACACTCATTATTTCAAAAAGTGTAAATTTTTTTGAAGATATTTTTTTACATAGTTTCAAGTCGCTTATAAAACAACGTTTTTATTAAAAAAATATTTTTTTAACTATTTTTTATCCTTATAATTTTTTAAGTTTTTTACTTTTTTGAATGACAACATAGGGTTTTAATTTTATATTCTAAAGTAGAATATTTTTCTTAGTATTTTGATACATGAAAATTGAATTTGGGGCGAGTAGTTTATGAGTTATAAGTATTTAAAGTTTAGACGAGCGGAGTGGAGTGGTTCGGGGTTACCCCGCGAAATGTTTGTCCACTTCACCGCTCGTCTAAACTTTAAATACTTATAACTCATAAACTACTCGCCCCACATTCAATTTTCATGTATCAAAATACTAAGAAAAATATTCTACTTTAGAATATAAAATTAAAACCCTATGTTGTCATTCAAAAAAGTAAAAAACTTAAAAAATTATAAGGATAAAAAATAATTAAAAATATAATTTTTTAATAAAAACGTTGTTTTATAAGCGACTTGAAACTATGTAAAAAAATATCTTCAAAATAATTTACACTTTTTGAAATAATGAGTGTTGTTTGATAAAAGAATCACCCGGTATAGTAAAAAAATATATACTTACCGAGATTTTCGTGTCTGTTCTACTGTCGCTTCGAGGGGCATTTCCTGTGTTTCGGGCATAAAGTCTTCGGTCAGATCCACGGGTTTGTGGTGGTCCGATAAGTGGAGTACTGGCTGTTTGTGACCAACGCCATTACTGTGTCGAACAACCGTGAGATGTGTAGCAGTCAAGACTTGGGTACGGAATCTTGAACTTGTTAGGGTGTACGGTTAGACTATCCGTTTTGAAATGGAAACTCGGTAGAAACGAAGAACTTGTATAACCTGCATAGTATGCATATACGGCAACACAAGTTCATAACTACATAAAATGTAGAAATGTAAAATGTACATAAAATTTGTTTTTTTAAGTTACAACTTACTAACCATTGGTTGACTTGCCCGTAATATTAATAAAATAAATGAAAAAATAAATGTATTTATTTTTCAAAAATATTTTTAACTGTGTAAAACTGAATATAATTTGTAGATAACATTTAACGCAAATTATTTGTCTTCGTCATTCAAACATGTGACCGCATGTTAGTAGGTATGTGACATTTCAAAATCATGTTAATAATGTATATGAATTGTTATTTGTTTATAATATTTGAAGTTTACTCTTTAGAACTCAGTACTATAGAATTAAACAGCTTTCAATGAAAACTATGTGTCCATCTACATTATAAACTAGTCACTCAGCGATGTTTAGTAAAATATTAAATAGGTATTGGTACCCTCTCCCTCTGTTCTCTGAATATTGAAACATAACTTTTTCAATAACATTAAGTAACTACACTTTTTTAATGACCAAAAATATTCAAAAAAAGGACTTTTAGACAACCTTGAAGATTGTATATTATGGTGTTTAATTTTTCTAAAAGGTATTTCAACTCTTTACAAAGTTATTTATGATCGATTTACCTTAATGTGTGTTGGTTGTGTCTCATGTTTAAAAAAGACACATAACAAACATACGTTTACAGTATCTTACGTTTTTTTATAAAATAACTTACATTGAATAAGATACAAAAGAAAATCATTCAAAAAAAGAGTTAATTTCTTCTCTAATTTGAAAAACCATAATTTATAAATAGGTACATACGTAATATTGTAGACAAATTAAAACATTCAATATAGTCAATATATAAAGACAGAAAAACACGTTAACTTTTAATACTAAAAATCAACTGGTTTAGGTCCTGGTGAAACCAACCCTAGTCAAATCAATAAGTATCTCATTACATTTCAAAGAATTAAACTTGTAAATCAAATGTATCATGTAAAAAATTAATTGTATAAATATAGGTATACAGGCTGGGGCACCATAAATTCCCGGAATATAATTACACGGACCGTAAAAACTAAAAATACAGGGTGATTTTTTGAACATGCTGTCCCCAATTTGTCCCCTTAATAATACATATTTTATTTAAATTCTGATTTTTGTCATTCTTAAGTATACCTGAAGATAATATTTTAAAATTACCAATACTTTTTGTACCTACTATTTAAGAAGTGTAATGTGGTAACACAAACTATTTTTCAAACGAGAATCCCCTTCTTTATTTCAAATTATTTGACTTGTGATTTTCTTGACAATGTTGATGTACATAAATCAAAATTCTAATTAGTAGTTTCTGAATTATTAAAATGTATATTCTAAGGATAATAATCCTTAAAAATGGTGGGGTCCTATTTGAAAAACAAAAGTTTAGGTAAGATCATCTTTAAGTGGTACAAAAAATATCTAGTATTTGAAAATATGGGTTTCAAGTGTATTTCAAAATTCCAAGATTCAAAATTTAAGTACAATGTGTACCTATAATTTAAGCGTAAAAATAGGACAATTGCATGCTTAAAAAATCACACTATAATATAATATTTACTATATTATATATATATAATATGAAAAAAATGTATATTTCAGATTCTGGGTGAAGTTACGTGGTGTATATTGTGGTTTCACCTTGGAAACGAAAATATACTCTATCCGTCTTTTTTATTGTCTCATTGTTGGAAAAATAAATTTTTCTAAAATATACCTCTAGTTTCTCGTCTATATTTATAGCTGGTACCTACTACCTATATATACAACAACTTATTCCGACCTATTTTGATCTTGCATATATAGTTAGGCTATTAGTCATAACTCATAACTTTATAACCATTGTCGGCGATATAAGTTAATGTACACGCATATTGTGTCTACTGAATTTAACTAGATAATCTAATATTCATTTATTTTTACATATACCTACCTCATTTCGAACTTATATTTAAGTATATTATAACTCAGCGGTTCTCAAACTTTTTTGTTCGCGGAGCCCTTATATTCCTAAAAAAAATTACGGAGCCCCAAAAATCAGAAATGTCTATATGAGACAACTAAAATTCATAAAAAAAAATGATGCCAATTGTAAATGATTTGCTTTTTATTTTTATTTTCTGTAAAATACGAATATATACAAATTATTCAATTAATATTAATTTAATTAGAAAAAAATAACATAAAATTTTAGCAATTTATTTATTTATTAATGTGATCCGTGATGTTGGCTTTTTTTATTGACCAGTATTTTTATATTTGGCTTGATAGGCGAGAGTTGAATACGCATATCTGCTTCAGCATCCAATTTATTACGATATTTGGTTTTCATTGATGCATATGATGAAAATCCGGTTTCACATAGATATGTTGTTGCGAAAGGAAGAAGTGCTAAGATAGCTTTTTTAGCCAGAGATTGATATTCGTTAGTAATACTGCTACTGCACCAAAAACTCGGTGTGACACATTTATTTTCATTTGCATCTGATGAGGATGATCCCACTGTATTTCTTGATTTGTTAAGCCAACGATCCATTTAAATTTTTATTCACAAAAAAAAATTGTCAACAATAAAAACAATTGATGGTAAAATAGGAAACACGTAATACGAAATAAACACCGAAATAACAATATTTGCGTCAGCGGCCGATGAATAACGAGTAATGACTGAAGAATCAAGAAATTATTAAAACTTCGTAGAATGTAGATTGTGCTATTGTAGATAAGTAAACTAAATAATTATCGTACCATTTGTCAAATGAACGAAAAACCCGACTTTTATCTAATCTCATTTTGACAATGACACAAAATATGACATATGTGGATTTATAAATACCTATTTTAAAGTTTTAAATGTTTAAATGTTTAAAATAATACATATTGGTACGGTCCAAATAGTATTGATTATAAAAATAAAAATTTAACTAAGAAATATAATAATAATTTAATAATTTAAATTTAATTAATACAGATATTCTCAGGGAGCCACGGAGCCCCTAGACTAATCTCGCGGAGCCCTAGGGCTCCGCGGAGCACAGTTTGAGAACCGCTGTTATAACTTATATAGAACCAAACATTATATAATATAATATCGATAAGAGCAATGCGATTGTTTCACAACTGATATTATGTGTTATATAATGCGAACAATTAGAAACATAATAATATATGTGCGTCCTTCGTGTATTTATAGGTTGTAGGTAGGTACTTTGATTTACACAAATAAATACAATTTATGGAAGTGACGATAATATTCACATTATATACAGGAAATAAACGAATGAATGGGGTTCTTCGTTGGTGATTGTATTTATTGCGTCAAATTGAATACATTCACTGTTCCAGGAAATTATAATAAATTATTATGTTCGTATTGTCGTCTCTTTTTATTGTATAATAGTTAATAACAATAATAATAATATAATATTAGGTACGTTTTTGGAATCAAATAATATCGACGTATTATTTTGAAACTCAAGTTCGAGTACCTATATTTGTTAAAGTATTATATTTTGGTATTTCGAATTACCTCATCGTTCCCCATATTGTTTCTATGAGCTTGGCAATTATATTTTCACAGAATGTGTATCGTAAGTCGTGACCGACGTGCGAGAACATAAACAAACGTATTACCCAATAATAGAAGAAGTGTATACTACACATACAACTGTTATTGGGTTACCTATTTATTATTTACTTTATAATAATATTTGTTATGTCTATTGTCTATGGATGAAAAAGTGTTCATATTGAAGAAAAAAAGTATTAAAATTATTAAGCATAGCCGTCTTCGAAACCGTTAAAATAAATTTTGTAACTAAATTCTATTGGATCGGTACCATCTCACCTACCTTCATAATATTATTATTATAATATTGAAAAGCGTATGGAAATATAATATTTTGTTATCGAAAGAGTTCAAAATAAAAATTTTTCACATTCAAACGGGTACGCTTTTTTAGACTTTTGCCCTCAAAGTTACCTACAGTAGCGTGGAGAACTAAAAATTGTCCGAATGCAAGTTACAAATATCCCAAGTATTAATGCATAATAATGTATCAATATAATATAACTAATTACATTTCAGATAATAATTGACTATACCTATTGAGTATATCGTATTACATTTACTAGGGAAACCACCGACTACCACCCCCACCCCTCTATTTAAGAAAAATCTTAGAGGCGATTGCCACTGAAATTACCCTTTGACAATGCCACTGGTTACCTACATGATGGGTGAACCTATTATAATATTATTATCGTATTATTATAATATCGTAATAGTGCAGGTTCGACGAATTTCCACTATTTCTGCAGTCGTACAAGCAATTACAATTAATTAACACGCGTAATTGGTGGTAGTTGGGGGGTGCGAGGTTCGGTGCTGAAGCCCGGACAGAGATTATACAATGTGTGGCCGGGAAGTGAAAAAAAACAAAGTCAATTTGCCTAGCGATTAAATTAATTCGCCTTTCAACGTTATTATACGATCGTCCCGAAATTAAACCAACGTCGTCATTAAGCCGTTTTGCAAATTCTCGACACGGCGAAATGGCATTACACCGGCGTCCGGATTTATGCGCGTCGCCTGTTGATCGTTAAGTACGACGCGCGGACGGGATAGTCACGCGTAATGAATATCAAAACGGCAGTTACAATATGTCGTTTTTGCGTATAATAATAATATGCCGAGGCCGCCGTCGACGATACGTGCGCGCGCACTATATGACGATAATAATAAAAAAAAATAATAACTGTACCGCAGAAGTCAACTAAAGCGGTTATAGTCAGCTTTTTGAAATTTTGAGTTAGTTATATATATAAAGAGTAATATGTTTTTAAACGCGATGCTCGTTGTATATGCTCGTTTTACGTGCACACGTTCTGGAATCAGAATAAGAAGACTTTCTTTTGCAATTTTTTAACGGTTTCAAATTTTAAAGTCATTTTTTTTTGAGAATTTCAGGATTTATGCGCGTCGCCTGTTGATCGTTAAGTACGACGCGCGGACGGGATAGTCACGCGTAATGAATATCAAAACGGCAGTCACAATATGTCGTTTTTGCGTATAATAATAATATGCCGAGGCCGCCGTCGACGATACGTGCGCGCGCACTATATGACGATAATAATAAAAAAAAATAATAACTGTACCGCAGAAGTCAACTAAAGCGGTTATAGTCAGCTTTTTGAAATTTTGAGTTAGTTATATATAATCAGAGTAATATGCTTTTAAACGCTATGCTCGTTTTATATGCTCGTTTTACGTGTACGCGTTCTGGAATCAGAATAAGAAGACTTTCTTTTGCAATTTTTTAACGGTTTCAAATTTTAAAGTCATTTTTTTTTTGAGAATTTCAGGATTTATGCTCGTCGCCTGTTGATCGTCAAGTACGACTCGCGGACGGGATAGTCAAGCGTAATGAATATCAAAACGGCAGTCACAATAGTAATATTATGTTTTTGAATATAATATGGAGAGGCTGCGCGCGCACGCGAGTCTATGGATATTAATATTATGACGATAATAATGAAAATAATAATATAACATAATAATTAAAATAATAATATAACGATAATCGTACAAGGTAATAATAATAATAGTTAACACGTTCACCGCCATGGTACCCAAAATGGGGTCTCACCACTATTAAAGATAGTATATGGTTGGCCAACGAGTCTAGAAAAGTGTCTACCGAAATGAATCTCCATATTCAATATTAAACAGCTGGAAATTTCCTCACTAGCGCTTATTTGTTGTAGTGACTTTAAATGCAGTTATCTTTCGAATGTAAATAATTGTAGTTTCGTTATAGGCAGTACACTAGTGCTTAAATCTCCAGCTGCTTAATTTAATTTTAATACTGATTATAGAGATTCATTTCGGTAGACACTTTTCAAGTACCTATGGAAATCATTTGTTGATGGGCAATCATGCTATCTATAGCCGTGGGTCTCACTAAACTTTGTCCTCATCGCCGAGGGTTTTTTCATCAGGTTTACTTAAATACAGTTTTAAAAATTTAAACAAATATTAATTAAGAAAAAAAAAATTTGCAAATTTGAAAACTTGTACACCTACTAAAAGTGTCAACAATATAACATTTTAAATCCAACGAGAAAATACTGACTGTTGAGACCCAGAAAAGAGTATCGCTGAAAATTATTTCAGTGAGACCCAAAATCGATTACCGTAATAAAAATTAAGTTTTTTTCATATTAGAAGTCCATACATTATGTAAATAGATAGGTTACAAAATAAGTAATAAGAAAGAATTCTGTATGTACATACATTTATCAGGAGCAAATAAGGGGTAGGTCCAAATACTAGATCAAAGAGCAGTAAGTGATCTGGCGTTACTGCTTTTATTTCTTTTTAAATCACATATTATTATAATGTACATCACTTTATTGGCTCATATTATGGCATTGATGTCTGCAGCAGCATTTGGCTGTAACTCCAAATAAAAGTGTAAACTTGCTGATTGGTGTAAAAAACTAATAGGTAATCTATGTAATATTATAGCGTAAAAAAATAACAATAATCATAATATTATTACTATTATAACTCCGGCCGTCGAGTGCACGCGAGTACGGATAATAATATAATACGCAGTCATCAATTGTTCGGCTCATTATTTGTGGTGGTGGTGGCGCCGACGGCATTTTTAGGACTCGCACTTGAATAATAATAATAATATGTCCGCTGAGAATACATTGGCCGTGCGGTGCGACAGCGAGCGTGTGTTTAATTTATATTATAATATAATTATTATTATATTGTAACACTTCGCGAAACGTACCATATAATATACTAAAACCGTGTGCGATGACGGGCCACGGTTGGTCTCCGGGAGTGGGTGCGGGGTGTATGTTTATTAATATATATATTATATGTGTGTAAGTACAATGAAATGCATATATTCATGAGGAGTTATGACAAAACCAACGCGCGAGGGTGCAGGACTAAAATTAAGGGTACACGCAGATTGTCGAAAAACAAATACTCAGACCTCTCCCCTCTCAACCACCACCCCGATCTCACAGACCACCACCGCATCCCTCGTCAGCCATAAAACACATGTAAGTATATATTTATGTTTGTATTAAATTATCATATCTTTATTATAGTCCGAGCAGTATATCTATACCTACCTAGGTACATAATATTATTATAATATAGTCCTGAAACGATTTCTACCGTCGTCGTCGGCGGCGATATCGTGTTAGCGGTTGATGGGGAGGGTGGGTCAAATTCCCGACCGTGCCCCCCCCCCCAGTCAACTGCAGCGCCGCCGCTTATAATAGGACGTGTCGACGTCGTCGTCGTCGTCGCCTACAATTTATTTATACGCGATTTTTTATTCTCCCTCTTTAAAATATACATTTTTTCAATCCCATTGTGCTGCGTATTATATTATTATATTATTATACAGTCACACTGGTGTTCGCGCGTACAATGTAAGACCTTTTGGAAAATCTCTGTCGTTAACGCCTCCGCCTCATCTGCACGGCCCGCTAGTCATTCTCGGC